ATTAGTACTATCAAAGCAATTATTACATTTTTTTCGTGAAAGCCCAAAAAGGAGGTCCTCTGTCCCAAATATTCCTATTCTGTATGAGACAAGATGGACAAGCAAGTATAAAAGTATTCAGATTTTTTCTAGTAAATTTGCCAACTGGAAACATTTTCATTGCATGCAAGTGGAAATACACGACAGGCTGCACATCAGTTACATTGTTCATCAAAGTCCAGCACGTTTTTATTTTGTCTCAATATTATTTCTCAAGACTTGGAACCAGTTACTCAGACTCTTCTAGCTGTTCAAGTTGATCTTCCAGAAGTCCAACTGCAAGTTCAAAACCTGCTCAGTGTAGTAAAACTTCACCGAGGTGATTCCGATAACTATTTCAGGGATATTTTTGTGAAAACACTACAACTCGCACAGAAAGTGGATACTGAGCTGATTATCCCAAGACAGAGTGGAAGACAAAAGTATCGAAGTAATCCGGGAACCATAAGTGTTAAAGAGTACTTCAAACTGTTTACATTCCATACTTAGATTCTCTAATTAACTCAACTGAGAGTCGATTCTGTGAAGCCAACAGTGCACAATTTAACTTAGCGTTGCTACATCCTTCGAAATTGTGCAAACTGAATCGTAAAAAGTTTAACGATATAATGTCTACTATTATTCAGATATACTACATTGATAATTTTGAAACTTCTTCTTCTTCTTCTTCTTCTTCTTCTTCTTCTTCTTCTTCTTCGCGTTCACCAGCTGAACACTCTAGCGTAAAGTTCTGGTTGCTCATCCATTTCTGGACTGCATCCATGCTCCAGAACATGAGTGTTGCGTGTGCATCAGTTTTACAGATCTGATTCAATTGAATGCAGACTGTTGGTTCCTCGCCTCTCAGGCAGATGCACTCCGACTTCAAAGGAAGTTCCCAAGTTAGTCGACTCTTACGACATGCTTTTGGGGAGGCAGTGGGTCTATTCTTGTTTTCCCCACAATAGGGCCCCGGAACCCACACGGGGGAGGGAAAACGCGAGAATGCAGAAGTAGACAAGATTTTATCGACTTGTACCTTTTACAAAGTTTTATCTGAGTGTCAGGTATGTGTTACTATTTTTGCTAACATTACCAGCAACAACATGTACTGTGGAGCGATCGTTCAGCACATTACGTCGTCGTGTAAAACATGGCTTAGATCTGCAATGTGAGATAAACGTCTGTATGGATTGTTTATGTTAAGCAATTCCAGGCCGGCAACGAAACAAATAATGATTTGACTTTTGCTGGCGCTACGTCGTTCGTGCTTTGTGCGATTTATGAAAGTACTTACAACGAGCTTTGGTGATATCCCCGGGAACTGCCAATATTTTTTTGTTCATACTTTACTTTTAGCATATTGAAATGTTTATTCAAAGTGAAAGCCACATAGGAAGGTGAGCAATTATTTTTTTTAAATCACATGAAAAAGAAACACAAAGTTAGCACAGTGAGGTTACGGTTGAAGCAAAGTAAGTGTGATTTGCGCACCCTTTTAATTAATCAGTACCGGGGCTGCCAGATATTTGAGCTTTGACCCCAGTGAGAGTTCAAAGTTTGAGTAACTGAAAGAAAAAACAATAATAACTGAAAAAAAAAATATTCAACTCAAATCAAAAGCATCTAGAAAAACAACTACCATAAGAAAAAAAATATTTGACTCCAAATGAAAAGCGTCTAGAAAAGCATCTACCATTTAAACGTCAAAAAGACATCTAAATAAAAGGAAAAACATATGAAAAGCATCTAGAAAAGCATCTACAATTTAAACGTCAAAAAGACATCTAAATGGAAGGGAAAACATATGAAAAGCATCTAGAAATGCATCTACCATTTAAACGTCAAAAAGACATATAAATGGAAGGAAAAACATATGAAAAGAATCTAGAAAAGCATCTACCATTTAAACGTCAAAAAGACATCTAAATGGAAGGAAAAACATATGAAAAGCATCTAGAAAAGCATCTACAATTTAAACGTCAAAAAGACATCTAAATGGAAGGAAAAACATATGAAAAGCATCTAGAAATGCATCTACCATTTAAACGTCAAAAAGACATATAAATGGAAGCAAAAACATATGAAAAGGTTCTAGAAAAGCATCTACCATTTAAACGTCAAAAAGACATTTAAATGGAAGGAAAAACATCTAAATGTGGATGTAAAATATCCGAAGTGGCAACACTGAACGTCATAGTAAAGGCGCGCTTTGCAAGAGCGCGCTTTTGCGATGTGAACAACTTGGATGTAGAGAAACCGCGAGAAACCACAACCTGAACACCCTAGAATTTATTGGGAATGTCTCCTGTGACGTCATTGTGACGTCAGGGGTAGGCAAAAAATATAGTACCTTCATTTATTCTTGTTTGTCTTTTGTTTTCCTTTTTCTGGACTTTGTCATTCTTTGTCTGTGTGTGTCTTTTTCTCATCCTTTTTCATTCATCTGTCTTTTTCTGAACTTTCTGTGTTCTTCTTGTGTCTTCCCCCCCTCTCCCCCCTACCCTCCCCTTTTTTTTCTCTGGCCTTTGTTCATAGAATTAGAAAAATTAGCATCATCTTAGTGCTCTGTAAGGCACATCATCAGCATCATGTAGCAGGTCTTTTGCTGAGCGTCACTCACATCACAGCCTGACGAACAGCCTCTTATTCTCTTGCAAATTCTCCTGCCTCATATTTGGTATACCCAAGATGTCTCCAGTATCCCGTATCTAGACTTAATTCTGGCCAACCCACGGCTCTTTTTTTTCCCGGCAACCCTGCATAATAAATGCGTTTCATTTCCATTCCACTCTTCACAAAATAACATTGGATTTCTATCCCACCAGTTTTCACAAAAATGTCATTTGAATTTCATTTCTGTCTTCACAAAAGGTTTAATTTCCATTTCGCTCTTAAAAAAAAATATGGCTTGATTCCATTCAACTCTTGACACAATACTGTCTGTTTTCTGTTCCACTGTTCACAAAGGTTCATTTTAAAATTCCATTCTCAGAAAATTGCCAATCCACTCTTCACAGAGTATACGTCAATAACCCTGCTCATTGGGATATTGTCTCCTTGGTGTGCTAACTGGTTGCTAGGGGTTTTTCATACGAAAGACATGGATGACAGTCTGAATGCACACAGTTAGTAACGAGTAGAAGATATCCGGTTAATATTCTTGATTACACTTTCACAGGTGATCTGGTCCAGTTAGTGTCTATTATTAGCTGGCAGGTCCAGCAAGATAGGACGGCATTTATCAAACACAAACTTGATGTCTTCTCTTTTCCACATTCGTTACGTTTCAGTCCTGTTTCCTCACACATGTTACGTTTCAGTCCTGTTTCCTCACACACGTTATACACACAATGGTTGATCCAGCAGGTCTAATCATGGCAGTTCGACTTTTTGACTGGTTGGAACTTGTTAGCTACCACTTCAGATTAGACTGTCATAGAGCTGTCATCTTGAGGTTTCTCATGAAAGAGAATCTCCTTAACGTCGTCAATATACACTGTCACTTTCACGCGTCCATCACATACAACTTTTTCATGCCAGCTGCTAAACACATACTAACTTATTAAACCTTGGTCTAACCTTATAACTGTCGTTCTGGGTTTCACGTACTGGCCTAAGCCCTGTTTGTATATATCGTGTTTCTACAAGTATTCACATTCTCATGTATGTTCTCATGTATTTTTCTTTTATGTCAAGGTTTACTGCCATATTATTGCTAAGAGAATTTCCGTGGAAAAATACCAACATTACACTCATGTTCTGACATTTCAGGTGTTGGACTTCCATGAAAATGACAGTTTTGTACAGATGGTCATGGAGGACTTTGGGGAGACAGATTTATTTGACTTCATCGATCAAGTAGAGATTGATGAGCCTCTGGCCTGCTATTTGTTTAGACAGGTACAATTTGTCTGTCACATAAGAACTGTTACAGCTTACTGAAGATCATTTGAACCTTTTGATATCCTGCCTGGTTGTTCATTTTTAAAAATAATTATTGTATTATTAATCAGCTGTATTTCGTTGATTGCTATATGAAGAAATTACACTACAATGTTGATTTGATAGGTGCAAAGCCATATTGTCCTTACTAACTGTTATATGAACAGATTACAAGTTGGATTGGATTGAAACACAGCTATGTTTAGTTAGTTAATTACTACATGAAGAAATTACAATGCAGTGCTGATTGTATAAATGAACAGCTAAATTTAACCTATTTACTGAATTGAAATTAGAGTACTAACTGTATGAAATCTGTAATTATGTTCAGTCTTTGGTGGTAACGGTAAGTTATATTTAATCTGTTGTAAAAAAGTTTGTCTTTCATTAACCAGTACTTCGCAGAATGGAGGGAATTAAATGGTATGATAGAATGTTGGGCTTTGGGAGAGAACTAAACAGGTTCTAGTGGATCCGGAGGTGACGGACAGATGCTGCTGTTGGATAGAGCACACGGTGAGAAAACCTGAAAACAGTATCACTAGAATGTTTTTGTTCCGGAACCCACAGGGGCATAGAATTAAAAGCAGAACAAAAAACACATGGAGAAGGGAGCTAGAAAGAGTGAAGTTAAAAAGTTGGTGAGGAAATGCGGTGAGCTGCTTGCAGTATTCAAGGATAGAACTACTTGGCTTGAGTTGGTTGAGGGCCTAGGCTCTTTTGGAAAATAGAAGACTGAAATGTGGTCTATGGTAATGAAAGGTTTGCAGAACTTGTATGTGTTGAGCCAAAAGCTGCAGATATCCCAGTCTAGTTGTAAACCACATCACAGTGTACCCAATGGGAAAACAGAAGAAAAAACATTGATTTAAACATGTTTTGTTTACTTTCCCCAGATTCTGTGGGCTGTAGATTATCTGCATTCAAAGAAGATAATTCACCGTGACATTAAGGATGAAAATGTGATTGTTAGCAGAACTTTCCACTGTAAACTCATTGACTTTGGATCAGCCACCTATATGTTACCAGATGGGGAGATGTTCACAAAGTTCCGTGGGACGCTGGAGTACTGCAGTCCTGAGGTTCACAATGGAGCAAAGTGTGTAGAAGTTTCATTCAGATTTTATGTATAATTTGTTTCCCCTTTCTTACTGTCTTTTTTTCTTCCCTCCAAGGCTGTAATTGTTATGTGCCTGTCAACAGTGTAGCTGAGATATTTGTGCTCTTTGTGTAACTCTTCTGTGCAACTGTTGCCTGGGTTACCTTCCTGGTTTCATAGGGACATTGAACAGCTTCATTTCTGTATCATCAGGTGGGGCCCCTAGCTGGTTGGTTCAGAACAGTCATGTAACACAGCTCCCAGAAGAGGACAGGGACAGAACACAAGTGTTTCTCATCATCTATAAACGCAGAGCAGGTATATGGCGATCTGATACTGGGCTCACTAAAACAACCGTCATGTCCACAGCCTTTTGACATGCGTATTGTCAATCATTTATGACCCAAATTTTCTTCCATGTATAATGCCATGTCCAGAATCCTGTCCTTATACGTTTATAATGATGTCAAAAGTGACAAACAAATTGATTTGTTCATCATCATCATCAGTTTCCACTTCTGCCTTTAAAACGTGGGGAGGAATAGTTTGCAATCCATTGCTTGATGGGCAGCATTGGTCATTGTCATTCTGGTTGATGTAGAAACTGTTTAATGGCATCAATCCATATTCTTCTAGGGCAGTCTCTTGCTTTCACTTTGGATTTTTCCCTGTGTAGTTCTTCTGGCTGCATTCTCACTAAATGATCAAACCATTGTATCTTCTGTTTCTCAATGAATCTGCTGCCTGTTGTTGTTCCTACAGTCTGTCTGATCATTTCATTTCTAACTTTGTCTCGCATGATTAAGTTGGTGGCTTTTCTCAGGCATCTAATTTTGCAGGTATTAATTTTACATACGTTAGCCTTTGAAAATGTCCAAGTCTGGCACTGGTAGCACAGTATTGTGATAAATGTGCTGTTTATAACGTTTCTTGGCACTGATACTTATGTTTGGATGTCTTAATAACGGTCTCACTTGGTGCATAAGTGCACTGGCTCGTAGGCATCTTGATTTGTTTCACCCCACAAATCTGTCTATTTGTTGTAATATTCAAATAAAATATAATCATGCCCACCAACTGTGCAGTTACAATCAGTTTCAGTGCTGTTAAACAAGCACATTTGCCACTGCCCAAAGACTTTGTGTAATCAAAAACCTGTTAAACAAGCACATCTGCCACTGCCCAAAGACTTTGTGTAATCAAAAACCTGTTAAACAAGCACATTTGCCACTGCCCAAAGACTTTGTGTAATCAAAAACCTGTTAAACAAGCACATTTGCCACTGCCCAAAGACTTTGTGTAATCAAAAACCTGTTAAACAAGCACATTTGCCACTGCCCAAAGACTTCGTGCAATCAAAAACCTGTTAAACAAGCACATTTGCCACTGCCCAAAGACTTTGTGCAATCAAAAACCTGTTAAACAAGCACATTTGCCACTGCCCAAAGACTTTGTGTAATCAAAAACCTGTTAAACAAGCACATTTGCCACTGCCCAAAGACTTTGTGCAATCAAAAACCTGTTAAAGTCAGAAAAAACATCTGTCTCTGGATAAGGTTAAATTAATTTATATACATTAAAAAAAAATGTGTTGAAATATTTGCTGGGGAATAATCATTACATAGTAACAGAGCGAGAATGAAATGGGAGACATTTCCTTAGGACAGAATGTATTTGTATGCTAGGATTCATACTGTGACCCTGTCGCTGAGTGACTGCTAATGTCAAATTATGACTTCATAGTGACTTTAAAAAAAAAATTTCTTTCCTTTTTCTTTTTTTTTAAACAATATTCCCAAATAATTATATTTTTTGTAAATTTAATCATAGCCTGTCCTCCTAGACACTGTGCAGGCGCAAACATAACCAGTGCCGCTTACTGGGCTGGTAGGGCACTAGCAAATGCAAGAATGTCAATATAGGTGGTTTTACTGGGGTTTTTTAACTGACAGTTTTGCTGGATTGCTCAGGGCGAAGGGGTTGTACTGGTATGGCTCCAGTGCTCCACCGACTTCTTTTCATAATCAGGGAATATAGGAACCAACCTTAATCTGTCTCAACTTTCAGGTACCGGGGCCCAGAATTGGACGTCTGGGCACTGGGTGTCACACTGTACACAGTTTTGTTCAGAGAGAATCCGTTCACAGCATCTGAAGTGCCAGGGACTCTGAATGATCTTCCTCATCCACTCACTGAAGGTAGTAATGGTCCCTTGTTGTGTGTGCTCATTCCTCATGTGGATCCCTATGGGAGGTTCAGACCCATAGCTTCTTAACAAGCATGTTATAAGAGGCGACCAGTTAGGGTTTGCTGCAACAATTAAATATGTATGGCCTCAAATCGCAGATATCACAGCCTTGTCAACAACACCATGTGCCGACCGTCTTGTTGAGGACGAACTCAGAAACAAATGTTCGCTTTAGTCTACAGTGGCGGAAAATCTCAAAAATCTGATAAATGCGACTGGAGCATTGTTTGTGATAGAGAAGTATTGCAGTAACATAAATTTGATTTCTCATTAAGTTTGTTTTACGGAATCATTGCGAAAATTTTTTCACACAGATAGAAAGTCGAAAGAAAAAAAAAACAATTTAATAGCTGTATAATCAGAGATGGACATTATTTTATCGAGTGATATCCAAAACTCAGGCAATGATTGCATTTTATGTCTGGACACAAGAGTAAAATCAGAAGTCAACTGTATCAGCTTTTCTGTTTCATGGTGATCAAGTGCGTATGATCTTATGTCTCACAAGAAGTGATTATTAATGCAAAGATTACCTTTACCAGGATCCTCATTTTCATGGTGATCAAGTGATATGATCTTAGTCTTACAAGAAGTGATTATTAATGCAGAGATTGCCTTTACCAGGATCCTCATTTTCATGGTGATCAAGTGATATGATCTTAGTCTTACAAGAAGTGATTATTAATGCAAAGATTGCCTTTACCAGGATCCTCATTTTCATGGTGATCAAGTGCGTATGATTTTATATCTTCCAAGAAGTGATTATTAATTATAAATTGCCTTTACGAGGATCCTCAAATTCATGGAAATAATGGTCATAGTTTTCAGCTAACACCTTTAAAGGCTAACTCATTATATTGTTACCATCTTTAAAAATGTTCAATGCAGAGTGGCATCTTTTCTTCCGAGGTTTAGGGTGAAGAGCATTGTTTGGATCTTTTCTCCGGGGAATGCCGTTGTGTTGGGAAATGAATAGGTGGGCAGATTGATTGGCTCTGCACAACTTGGTGGAAAATTGATACATATTCTCTCCTCGCTGCATCACTCTCACCAGATTATCACAGTCTCACAATGGTTTTGGCCAATACTCGATGCTCGAGGGAAAGTCGAGATGGACATATAATCAGACTGATGTTGGTTCCTGAATCAGATAAATCAAATCAAAATGTTCTACATTCCCAATATGCATTGACATTTTACTATCTTTTAAACTGTTCATTATTCATACAGATGCAATGACATTGTTGCTGGGCCTCCTACAACCAGATCCTCTGAAACGCTTCACTGTTCTGCGAGCCCTGTCCTGCGATTGGCTACGGCAGATTGTTAACTTGAACGACTACAGCTGGTGTGATATGTTCGGTGATGTTCCAGTACACTCTGACAGCATGTATGAACTTGATTGTTAAGCCTGTCAGTTCCTGAAATCTTCATCTTCCTCTTGTATCTTATACAGTCAGTTCTGATTGGACTCTTAGTTGATCCATAATTGAACTGTTCGCTACAAAACGTTAGTTACTTATTCTTTACAGGACGTTACAGATCCAACCCCAGCATTTTTGTGTGTGTGGCTGTTGTGGTTTTTCTATACAAATTTTACGTTCAGTGGTTTGTTTGCTATAAGTCCCAGTAAATTGGGTAGAATTTATTCTTGGCCTTTGGCATTCCAAGAAGAGTTAGTTCTTTCGTCTTCAGCACCCATCTTCAGGGAGCTGTATTTCCTGCAGGCCAGATATTTCAATGTCACATCAGTTGAGTTTGGCATCAGTGACAGTCATTTTACTCATGTCATTGTTTTCGAAGTTGCTTGAAATTATGCAGTCCTGATATTCCAGGTTGCAAGCCCAAGCTGGTAATTATTTTCTTTTTTTTTTTGTTTTTTTGTTTTGTTTCCTGGTGCATTGGTTTTTACAGCTTGCAATTTAGATTTTTACCCACCCGAAGCACACAGACTGTGGTGGATCAACCCTTCAATGGCCGATGTCTGCCCAGCTTGAGGCAGGCCGTAGCTGATTAGTGACACCCAGAAATGTCTTGTACTGTGAGAAGCAGTCTCTATGACAAGTGACAAGGACTTATAATCCATAAACTACAGTCTCTTTGTATATTTGTATGGCCAGGGGTGAAGTTCCCCCTTCTGGACACTGTTGTAAAGACCATATGTTGTCCATGCAGTATGACTGATCTCTGATCCTGCCTTGTTTATTCAAAAGGAAAGATAACACCAAATATTTGTTGAACAAAGAAAGCTAGAGAAGCCACCAGATTACTGGCTGTCTGCTTGTCTGAGATGCCCTCTTTGACCAATCGAGGCCTGGTCTGCTCCGTCACAGAATTAATTTATTAGGTTGTATTTCTCCTTCCTAAGAAAAGGCTTGTGTCTGCATTCCTTTACCCTAAGCCATTGGCGCAGTGTGGGGTGAAGGATTTAGTATAGACTACTGCTGATTTAACAGAGAGCGGGTGGCAGCGTTATGCTATCACTGAGACATGTCGGGACGGACATTAACAATGTATTGGCCCAGCAGCATATATAGATACAGCATCAAGTGGTCAATCTGTGACCACTCAACAACAAATGTAACTGGCCACATTTTGATGTCAGATATTTCACAAATTTTAAAGCCATATTTTTAAACAATGCCTGCGAGTATAGTAAAATCTACAGTTATTAAAACTCACCTTCCTGCACAAGTTTAAAAAAATGTGTGTGCAAATATAATGTTCAATGAAGCATTATGCCAGGACACTTTCAGATGACCATCTCAGGGCTACTGGCAGAAAGCAAGGAGGCAGCACTCTGCCATTGCCAGGCACATTGTTGAGCAGCATTCCATTGTATGGATGTGATAGACACACTTTTAAAGCAAAGGGACTGCCAAGATATGGTCCATGATTATCTTATCTGTTCATCAAGACCCACTACATCATCTTGTCGCACTTACAGAATGAACTGCTGAGTGCCACAGTCACTGCTGGTAATACAACTGCTGCCTGCCACAGTCACTGTTGGTAATACGACTGCTCCCTGCCACAGTCACTGTTGGTAATACGACTGCTCCCTGCCACAGTCACTGTTGGTAATACGACTGCTCCCTGCCACAGTCACTGTTGGTAATACGACTGCTGCCTGCCACAGTCACTGTTGGTAATACGACTGCTGCCTGCCACAGTCACTGTTGGTAATTCAACTGTTGCCTGCCACAGTCACTGTTGGTAATACAACTGCTGACTGCCACAGTCACTGTTGGTAATACAACTGCTGACTGCCACAGTCACTGTTGGTAATACGACTGCTGCCTGCCACAATCACTGTTGGTAATACGACTGCTGCCTGCCACAGTCACTGTTGGTAATACGACTGCTGACTGCCACAGTCACTGTTGGTAATTCAACTGCTGCCTGCCACAGTCACTGTTGGTAATACGACTGCTGCCTGCCACAATCACTGTTGGTAATACAACTGCTGACTGCCACAGTCACTGTTGGTAATACGATTGCTCCTGCCACAGTCACTGTTGGTAATGCGACTGCTGCCTGCCACAGTCACTGTTGGTAATGCGACTTCTGCCTGCCACAGTCACTGTTGGTAATACGACTGCTGCCTGCCACAGTCACTGCTGGTAATACGACTGCTGCCTGCCAGTCACTGCTGGTAATATCTCTGGTCTCCACCAGTATCAGGCGTGTATCGCTGTATATGGTGGTCACACCCATACTGACTTTATTTTTTACGGTTCAAATGGAATGAATGCTGATGTTCACTCTACCAATATCTATTTTTCACCTTTCACTCATTCATTAGGTTATTACATGAGTTAACTTTGATTTCATGTAAAAATTATTTTATTGGCACGCTTTTGGAATAAAACAAGATGGACCCCATTTTCGCCTAGTCAGTTACTGTTGCTGGTGATACATCATAAAGTTGTCCATCTGTTATAAATGTTGAAATCCGCAGCATAAAGATGCCAATCTGTGACAAATGTACAAAGCTGCCCATCCATGCCAAATATATAAAACTGCAAGATTAAGTGGCCCATTTGTGACAAATGTAGAAAGAAAGCTGAAATATAAAGTTGTCTTTGTACATGTTAGACTGTTATTGTATTATATCTGAGTAATGAATATTTGTCACTTATAATTTATTTCTTTGGATACGTTTAAGCAAATTCTATAATCCGTTTAAATGAAAGTTTCAGAAACAGTTTTGTCTTATTCTACCGCAGCTCTTGTCATCTGTACTGCAGTTCTTGTCATCTGTGCCGCAGCTCTTGTCATCTGTGCTGCAGCTCTTGTCATCTGTTCCGCAGCTCTTGTCATCTGTTCCGCAGCTCTTGTCATCTGTTCCGCAGCTCTTGTCATCTGTACCGCAGCTCATGTCATCTGTACTGCAGCTCTTGCCTTCTGTACCCCAGCTCTTGCCTTCTGTACCGCAGCTCTTGTCATCTGTACTGCAGCTCTTGTCATCTGTACTACAGCTCTTGTCTTCTCCCCTCTTAGCTTGTCCTTACTGTATATATTCACCACCTTTTAAAGTGCTATATGGGAGTGTTCTTCAACCCGTGGACAGTGGAGAAGTTCCTGTTGGGCACCAAAAAAAATCTGCTTAATGATGAAACAAGCGAGGGTAGTTGGTATTTTTCTCTTTGTCTATAGGATTAACATTTCAAGGACATCCTGTTTGTGTGAAAAGACTTTTCAGGCATGTGAATAATAGAAATTAAACAGAGGAATCAAATGAATGCTATTGTACTCCCCGTATCAGAAGCAATGCTCTAGCCACATATATATTTTATAACCTCCGAGCAGCAGCAGAAGAGACACATTAGCTGAAAGTGTGATTTTGTGACATCAGATTTCACAAATAAACTACTGACTACACTAGTTTTTGTTGCCTGTTTGGTCAGCTGCCAGGTGAAACATGAAACAGTTACACTTGTTTTAGTGGACCACGGGTGTAAGCAGGTTAAGGACCATTGAAGTAGAGCATAGGAGTTTTCTTGTTTCATTCTCTCAGCTTTTGGTTTTTAGGTAAGAAGGCGACTGTCCTGTCTGAAGTTTGTGGTGCCACACATAGTATGTGTAAAGACCTATTACTTCACACACCAACAATAGTATATGCTTGAAGACTATCTTTAAAATATGGGGGGAGGGGGGGGGGCGGTGTTGATCAATGATCAGCCATTTGCCTCATGCACTGAAGGTGGCTATCCATTGTACAGAGAGAGACTGAGTCAGCTGGTATCAAACCTGGCACAATGAAGTCAGTCCTTTCAGTTTTAAACTCTAAATCTGGTTCTACATTCTTCTTCTTTGTTTTTGTTTTTCTTTAATCCTAGAATGTGTTGCGGTGTCAGGCAGGAAGAGATCTCTGAAACAGGCTCTTCTGTTTGCTTCATACATTGTCCCTTTAATATTCCTGTGTTATCTACATGCCCTGTTCTCAAGACTGTCTTATTGTATACAGTGACCACTCTTTAGGTTAGTCACAATGAGTGAGTCATATATGTGTTGCCTTCCATTTCATGTTCTAGCTTGGTGACATTGATTTATAACAGATTAAAAAATGTATGTGAATTCATTTCCATTGTTAATAAAATTAACAACACTCCAGCAAGATTGTTGATGGTGTTTAGTTTTGTAAATGTGAACATTTGTTAATGACTTTGGTGATCTGGGTTTTTTTTATGTTCTTTTCTTGTTCTTGCTTAAAGATATTTCTTCTTCTTCTTCTTCTTCTTCTTGTTCACTGGCTGTGAATTCCGGCGGCAAGTCACGGTTGTTCGTCCAAAATGGACTTTTGGCTTTTACCTTGACCTGAGTTTTGCGTGTACATCCGTTTTACTGGCTTATTTGTTTGCAGTTCTCGTTCTCCGGCATATGTACTCCGACTTCGAGGGAAGCTTAAAGATATGATCTAGCAGCAATACTATTATTCTTATATTGTAAGAAAACCTCACAGATTAGCAAATGAAGTACACAGCAAATATTCTCATACACCAAATAAATGTTACTTATTACATATCCCCCTCCCCCCTCTTCCTTAAATCACATTACCCTTTCGTCAGTCATTACATATTACCTTCTCATAGAATCATTACATTACCATTTCATTAAACACATCATATATAACCCTCTCATTAAGCAGTCATTACATATTACCTTCTCCCCAGAGAATCATTACATATTCTTCCCCCACCACCACACACTTCAAAAACCCATCACATTACCCTTTCATCAAACAGTCATTACATTTTACCTTTAAGTTCAGTTAAAAACAGACATCATAGCACTCAGAACATTCCCAAAAGCGCTCTGTCTCTATCGTCAGCAGCAATCACAGAGTTCCGTTTCCAATGGTACTGATTCTTCTTTTTCTTCTTCGCGTTCACCAGCTGTAAACTCT